GTTATTGTATCTTTTATTGAGAGGATGTTACTATTGTTTATGGTATTTTCCATATTTCAACTCATTAATAGATGGGAGTGAGTTGGGATAATTTTGAGTTCAAGGTGTTTGTCAAGGTATTAAACATTTAGTCTATATTTTGATCCAACCTATTTATGGTAGAATGGATATGTTGTTATTTGTCTTGAATATCTTGTAGATTATTAGGCATCTTTTTATTATTTTCTGCTATGTGGTTTTGGTTTTCTTCAGTGTCCTGGAGTTCCTACACTTGTTCTATGTATTCTTCATTGTAACTCTCCAGATTGACAATGCGTTCATCTAAATCTGCTATATCCTCTCTGATTTTCTTGATTTCCCTTCTAATTTCTCTTAATATCTCTAGGATTTTATCCATTGTGTTTGTTGACTTTGGTTTGAAGGATTGGTTATCTCTAGTTCATTGGCCTTGCTTGGTTGCTGCTGTATATAATTCTGGTTTGATAATTTTGTACTTTTGTTTGGTTAAATTTCTAATTGCTCCTGTTTTTACTGATTTGTATTTGGTATAAAGTTTGCCAAAACATTAGGCTTGTTCTGATCTGTACTGCTTCTATTGTGCATGGCATTCCTTTAGTGAGCAGTTTGCTACTAAATGTTCTACGCTACTACAGAGACTGCATAGTTTGATTTCAATGTGTTTCCATTCCACTATGGTTTCTCTAAGTTGAAAATTTTCTTTAATGATGGCTTCTCTGGTTCCCTCATTTTCGAAACTGATTACTGCAAATCTTTTCCTTTTGTATGAAAGGTATCTTGGGATATAATATGATTTGGTCTTGGTTTGATTACATATATAAAAATCAAAGGCTATTGTGTTTGGTGGAAGATTAATTAATTTGGCTGCTATGGTCCCTCTTTCTTTTATTTGTTCAATGTTCCATTGAGTATCAAATACTTTGACTGAGTCTACTCTTAGTGAAACACTTCATTTGCTGATAACTGTATTCTTGTTTTTTTTTGTCTGCATAGATTATTGTAGCAGTCTGCCACATTTGTTGAGTTGTCATAGTGATATTGGTTATCTCACTATATTTGACAAAGGCTTGTTATACTTCAATGAATTTAATTTCTAAAGATATGTCCCACACTACAATACTGTTTTTCTTCTTTTATATCAACAATGTAGTTGCCATGTATTTGAGATATATATTACTTGTATCTGGCAAGATTATGTTGCATGCCTCATCTGCAGCTTGTTTATCTCCAAATATGGCTATGATATATTCATTTTCATCTTTTTCTTCACTAAAAATAAATATAAGGCCAATGATAGAGTCTAGGCTCTTAGTGAGGAAGGCAACTTTTTTACTTGTTGTTCAGCTTGGGATTGCACTTGCTTTTATTCTTGACTTGGCTCTTTCTCTTCCAATCTGGTTCTTCTGTCGAAAGGGGATTTGGGCCTGGGCCTACTGAAAGTATTGATTTTTGTTTTTTTATTTTTTTTCTCAGTCTAACATTTTTCTTCAGGGTTTCAGTTTGTTTTAGAGATGTTTTTCCCAGTTTCTTTTTTCAAATCCATTTCTATGTCTGAGTCAATAATTTATACTTGGTTCCAATATTTCCTGGTTGTGTTACTAGGTTTTCTTTTGGATTTTTAATAATGGATGTGCTTCCTCTACTGGTTGATGTTATTAAGATTTCTTCTTCTACTTGCTTGCTTCAAGTGAAGTTGTCAGTTCTCATTTTCCTGGGTTCAGTACTACTTGGACCTTTCAAGATTGATTGTTGTTTATTGTTGGAACTGTTTATATATTTTTTTGGTCTATTTTCTTCTCATAAAACTGTTTTTCCTTTGTTTTTGTTGATTTTCTTTCCTGTGTCCAGATTCAATTTTTTGTATGTATTTTTTATATTACCTCTTGCTAGAATATTTTTATTGTAGTTGGGTCACTTCAAACTATATTGTTTTCTAGATTCTCTTTAAGAACTTATCTCTTTTGTTCACTTTCTTTCTTTTTTCCCAAAATTATCAAAAAAGAAAATTTTTAAGAAAAAAATGATCTGCAGGAAAAAGTTTTTTGTTTTTTGATATTTATTATTGTTAAATATCTTTATTTTTTATTAATTATTATATAATTTATGATAACAGTTAATTAAAATTCTCTAAAAATAAAAATTTAATAAAGGAAAGAATTTTTTAACAATAATAAAACTTTAAAAATTACATATAAAATTTTTTGAAAAAAATATAATAAATAAAATCTTTTAATTATATAATTAAGAATTTAAAAATTGTTAAAGTTGAAATTTATAATAAAAACATAATAAATAAACTCAAACTTTTGAAAATAACTGTAACTTTTTATTAATAAAATAAATATTAGCTTACTTTTTTTAAAAAAAAAAAAACTTTCTTGTTAGGTCTGATATATAGACTTTTTTAAATATTTGTATATTATATATTATAAGATATTTATTAAAGTCAAATTTTTATCCAATTCACTTATTTTTGTTTATATTTTTTTAAAATTTTACAATAAATATAACTTTAAAAATAATTTATTGTTTTATTAGTAATTTAGATAAAAATTCTTTTAACTACCAATATTATTATCTATTGATTATTATTGCTAATATAATACATTATAAAAATTTTTAAAATTTTATTTATGCAATATAAATATAAATAATTTTTTCAAAACAAAAATTAGTTTATATAAAATTTTAAATATATAAATAACATATTTTAAATTTCAATTTATCTTTTTTTTTGTAAATAAATTTTTATAATATTATTTTCAAAAAAAAAATACATAATGACAAATTATATTATATTTATAAAATAATAAAATTATTTCTATAAATGAAATATACTTCAGAACTAATATAAATATATTAATAATATATTAAAATCTTAAAAAATAAAATTTAAAGAAAATAATTTAAGAAAATTAGATAAATGTTATTCTAAAAAAATAACTTTACATATATTAAAAGTAATTAACTAATATTTATATTATAATTCAAAACTTTTTATATGAACTTTATAATTAAATTATTATATTAATATCAAAATATTATATTTAACTATTTAAAGATATTTGATAAAAATGATTATAAAAATAACAACCTGTGGACCAATAGTATAGTAATAGTACTCCCAGGTTATCAAGTATTGTTTTTGAGTTTAATACTACTGTAAGGTAATATTACTTAAGCCTAGGTGGTATAGGAAGATCCTATTCATTTCATGATAACAATCACTATTACCCATGATTAAGATCCTATTCAATTAATAATAAAAAATTTTGCAGATTACTTATGTCCTTTTTTGAGAGACAAAATTTATAGCTCTTTACTTTAATAGGGACAAAAGTCAGAAAATATTATAAATCAATGATTTGGATAATAAAGAACAATTATAATTAGTTTTTTATAATTATTAATTTAAAAATTTTAATATTTCCTAGTGAGAAATGTTTGACTTTTGTTCTTGTTTCTTTTTTTAAGAACTCATCTTTACATCTAATTACAAGAAAACTAAAGATTATAAGATACTTTAGCTGGTTTTAGCACTGAAGTCATCTTGTTATAAAATAGGTTCCAACAAGTTTCTATAGATAGACTGAAAATCTACATATCATAAAAATTAGAGTATTAATAATACCTAGGTATATTAGTTAAAGAAGATCTTTACCAATTTGACAATCCATTTGAAGTTCCATGTAGGCACTCTATAGATAGGTTATAATAGATTATATAAAAAAAGTGCTTAAATAGAATGAAATAATATCTAAAACTTCATATGAATTTTTTATAGTCATATTGTAATAGATAATATAAAAAGAAAATTTAATAAGATAAAATATAAAAAAGATTTCAGGTTCAAGTAAGTCAAAAGGTAATGTAGAGTCTGAATGTAGATAGAGGGGTAGTAGCACTTTCTCCAATAATATGCTATATGGATCATAGCTAAAATAGACTTGAAAAATAGGTTTATTATAAATACTTAACTAGTTTATTGTTAATATATAAAGTTAATATATGTATATGATAGATGATAGAAAAGTTATATGATATATAATATAGCCTTTACAAATCTATAATATTTAGTTGTATTCTACAGATATGCTAGTTAATATCTCAATAAACTGGATCTCTGTTTATTCTTAAAAAAAAAAATTATAAAAATAACTTATCTTTGAAAATATTTATATTTATTATTGTTTATAAAGAAGTTTATATAACTTGAATAAAAAAGCATCTTAATAACAATTAAAAAAAATAAAACAGTATTTTATCTTTTTAGAAATACAATTACTCGGTAATACAAAAATGCAAAATTAATTAGAAAAATATCTAAAAATTATATAAAAATTTTTATATAGAAAGAATTTTGGTTAAAAAAAAACTTCTATTTTTTTTTGAAAAAAATTTTTAGATATAAAATATTTTGCAAAATAATAAACAAGAAATTATATAATTACTTGAAAACAATTAATACTTTTAATAGAATAATAATCAAAATATATTAGTAAAATTATTAAAAAATTTCTAAATAAAAATTTTTATAAAATTATATATTGACTTTCTAATAGTTCAGATTTAATTCTATTAAAAACCTTTGATATATTGTTAAAAGAAATGTAGAAATAAGATTATCTTAAAATTTTTTAGAATTAGAATAATTTATGATAGAAGAATAAAAAAAAATTTCAAATAGAATTATAATTAATTGTGAATTATTAATTGAAAATAATGATGAAAAATTAATTATTAATTATATCTTCAAATTTTAAGTTTCATTTTGTATGCAGTAATTTTTGAGTAATTAATAAATAAAAAAATCTAAGTATTAATTTATATAATTTATATTATTGTGTCGTCATCATTATCGGTACTACATTACAAGCCTCAAGCAATAGGATCGTGTGACTATAGAGCATATAACCAAAAATAATTTTTTTATCGCGACGACGAGACTGTATCGCATCAACGTACATTGCTTCAAATAAATAATGCCTGGGCGTATGCTTTTCCGATACACCTGTGAGGAAGTGGATAAACATAATACAGTCGACGACCTGTGGGTTATCCACAACAACAAAGTCTATGACGTGACAGAATTCGTCGCTGATCATCCCGGTGGTGCTGAGCTCATTATAAAGTGGGCAGGAAAAGATATTACAAATGTGTTAAATAACCCGGAGTTGCACGATCATAGTGAGGTTGCTTATGAAGCGCTGGCAGAGTTGTGTATAGGTGATATAGTTGATAGTAACAATTCTACAACGAAAGCTACACCACCACCGTCACCACCACAATGCGCTGAGAAATATACCCTTGTCGATAAATTTCACCCCACAACAACAAACATCAAATCCGATCTTAAGGAGAATTTTCTCGACCTTAACAAACCACTATTCCATCAAATGTTCAATTGTGACTTTAGCAAAGAATTCTATCTCAAACAAATTCATAAACCACGGCATCTTCCATATTCTGTTAAGCTGTTCGAGAACCCATTTTTAGAACTTTTAACGAAGACTCCTTGGTATGTAATTCCGATCCTGTGGCTTCCTGTGGTATATTACCATGCACATATAGCATCTGAATATTTGGGCACAAAAACGATCACCGTCTTGTTCATTATTGGAATCTGGATTTGGACCCTTTTGGAGTATTCGCTACATAGGTTTATATTCCATGTGGACTATCTCCTTCCTGATCATCCCTATGCTCTTTCATTACATTTCACTTTACATGGAATCCATCATTATTTACCTATGGACAGGTGATTGATCTTATTGTGGTTTTCCAATTTAATTAGGAAAGATACAATCTACTAATTGCTCATCCGCTATTATTAAGGATGCGTCTTGTAATGCCGCCTGTTCTTGGTGCATCCATCGCTATCTCAATCATAAAAGTTGCAAATATGATTATTCCCGAATCTATTTCACACGCTTTAATTGCCGGTGCTGTGTTTGGATATATCTGTTATGACATGACCCATTATTATCTTCACCATGCTCGCCCTTTCGGTAAGCATCTACAGGAAATGAAAACGTATCATTTAAATCATCACTATAAAAATTACGAATTGGGATACGGCATTACAAACAAATTCTGGGATAAAATGTTTAACACGATGTTGTAACTATAGCCTTTATTTTACATGATGGTGTTAGTTTCATCGGTTGTTCTGGTAGAGTATAATAAAGCTCTTATTCCCTTTTTCACAAATTATGCATTTGGCAATCATTTCTCATTTGTTCACTTCTTGTATATAAATAAGAAGAAATAATTTAAATTATTGATGTTATTAAACAATAACCAATCCTATTCACGTGTTGATTTAACTTTTTGTTTTTTAACCCGCGTCATAGATTTTTTTTTCTGAATAATTGAGAATCTTTCTTTGTATTTTTAAGATTTATCAATGGACTTTTAAATCAAATTTTTTTTATAATATAATAGTTTTTTTTATTTAAGTAAGTTATTTTTATGAAAATTACTTTAATTCAAGTTATTCTATTATATTGTATTTTATATTCAATAATTTTTTTATTCTTTATAAGCAATATACTATATATTATCAAGTACATATACACTCTTTCTGACCATATACAAAAAAGATGTTTGCAAGAAGTTTTTAACTTCTATGCTAATAAAATCTTCACACTTTCCTTAAAACAACTTGAAGATTTACCTTTAAGAGTTATTTATATTCTTTTCTTTTTATTTACAATTCCCTTTGATCATAAACTTGGCTTCTAGTGGTCTAAAAACCAAGTAACACCTTTACTACTAATGGCAAGAAAGCTTTTAAAGAAAGAAGAACTAATAGTGAAGTACTTGAAGGTCCTGTTTAACTTTGTTAAGACTAAAGAGATTATGTACAATAAAAGAAACTTATCTTCCTCCCTCTTTTATTGTTGTTTCCCTCTTAGAGCTACACTTTCATGGTCTTTTAAGGAATTTTGTCTACTTCAGTTTGACTATGAATTTTAAATAGCACAAACTATTATCAAAGCTGATTGGTTAACATGAAACATGTTAATTTTTAAAATATAAATAAGCTCCTATTGATCACATACATGTGTCTTGATAAGATACTGTTCCCTAATACATCAATGAATATCAAGAAAGAAAATAATCTTTTAAAAAAATCATCTATTATTACTTAGGAAAATAAGAAAAACAAGATACTCAAAAAGATATAAAATAAAAGCAAAACCTTGAAAGTATACCATCTACTTATATAAGCCTGAAACATCAGGAGATTGAAAAATCCTTTAGAATCATTTGTACTAATCGAAAATAAAATCATCAGTAGGAGGTGTCACTATTGGCACAGTGGATCAGCTTCTTCATAATAGTAATACTCCAAGAGCAACATTTATCAAAATCAATGAAGGTGTATGTCAGAAAGATTAATATTTCTTTTCTAGATAGATTATTATAATGGATAAATAAGAACAGATTCACTGAATACAAAGGTCCCATTCCTTATACCCCCTTTTTCACAGTTCCTTTCTATCTAATTCTCTTTATCCTTAGTTCTAGACATCTACAAAAGTCCCTTTGACTTGTCTGATTACTTAATAGAATATCAAAAAAAGTCTCAACATAAGTAAAATAAGATAAGATATAAGATTAAAATTGAAAAATACAAGAATCACAATATAGAAGTACTAAAAGCAACTGAGAAACAAATATTGTGCTCTTGACTAATGAAGTTCTTAAAAAGTATTTAGTTAACAATACAGAAGTAGTAGTAATAGCTTGTACTCAAATGTTGACTCTATAATAGATTACCATTTTTTCTTTCTCATCAAGTCCTTTTAAGATATAAGCAGAACCCTCTTTTCTATTGATTCTTG